GAGAACCCGGAGCTGCTGCAGCTGCACGGGCGCAGAAATGCCCGGGGCTGCGGGTGGCCGCGGGGCGCGGCTCCCAGCTGGCCTTGGCTGAAGCTGAGCAAGCCGGACTTGGGTAGGGGCCGCCTGGAAATGCCGGTGCCGTCCCGGGAAGGCGAAGAAGCCGCTCCAGAGAAGGCGGGAGGGCACGTGTCCGTGCTGCGGCTGAGAAAACCCTATGCACGTGTCCGTGAAGTCCGTGAAGAAAGTAGGGGCTTGCCTCGAAAGAGGAATGAAGTCCTTTTTCTGTGACGAGGTGCACGAAAAAAAGAACTCGACGGGTTTGGAGGTGGCTTGGCGAGTTGCACGGGGACCGTCTGGCTGGATTTGCAAATCCCGCTGGAGCCTGGGCTTCGACGGAATTCGGTGCGGGAGATCCGTTGCCTGGGGGGGCGCGGGGTCGTCCGACGTGAAGGAAAAGGCGCGCTCCTCTTCCTCAGCTGGAAGGGGGTGTTCAAGGGGGGAGACTTTATTTTGAACCCGCGCACTTTTCAGGGCCGTTTGTAATGACAGGTCTTTAGCGTGGCCTGTTTCATGAGCCTTAAACCCACTGAGAAAGCAGCAGTATCAACAAGGATGGTTGAACCTTACAGAAGGGAGAATGCCGACACTATTTAGTTGTGCCATTCTGCCCAAAGCATTTATCTCATAAAAACCATATTTGCATGAAATCGTGAATATTTGTCCAATGACTTGACCTCCTATAGGAAGGAGAAAAATGTGTAGTGAAACCCCAGCAGAACTCCAGAAATATAAATTGAAATGGCCAGCCAAGGATCTTTCATCAGCATTTGTTAATAGGGAAATGTTGATCATTAACCCAGTTTGGCCTTCTTGCTATATTTATCCTTCGCCCCCTCTTTTTCTATGCCTGCTGTATGGATTTGGAACTTCAACTGTACATGTTCTGCGACAAAGTTTTGCAGTGGGTCAAGCTTGGAATATCCAAAGTGGCAGATAAGGGTATATATGCCTGTGAGCATCCTCTGATTTTTTACATTGTTAAAAAGAGGGTTTTAATTTAAAAAAAAAAAAAGGGAACCTGGCATCCTGCAAAGAAAAGTGCCAACATCATCTTTACTTTCAAGAATGCCATGGCCCCATAAGCTTTCTTAAAAACAACAACAGCATTATAATTATGGGTGGCTGTAGTCCAGCGGTTTACTTGCAAACATGCTCAGCTGCTTAGAAAAGAAATGGTGGGAAGCAGAGATTGGGGGTGGGGGGTGGGGGCTAAAGGGATGACAGATAGCATCCTAAAGCCATGGTTTGTAGTTGTTTCTGCTCTCCGGGGCTGCCATTCTGTCGATGGGCGAGCCCTGCTGTAGCCATTTTGCATAAGTGCCCACAACCTGTTCTCCAGACTTTAACATGCTCAGCAGGCCAAAAAGATTAGAGCCACAAGTGTAGAGTGCTCTTCTTCAAAGCTTTCATCAGCTCCTCTTCCAGGATGGGCACGCCATTCTCCTACCTGCCCCGGCTCTAAGCCCACACAAATACTCTGTCTTGTGCCACTGAGATGCAAGTTTTCATTGGGTTGCTGGAGGAAGTTCCCTGCTTATGGAATCCCCCCCAAGTTACTTTTTCAACTTGGTGTTTCCTCTGAGGATGCTGCTCCCTCCCTCTCCAAGAGAGGGATGTGTATTATTCTGGGTTAAAATAGAGAACAAGGCAGTAATCTTCTGCCTACTGTAATTTAACTCCTGTGTTTTCACATTGGCCCACAATTTCACTTCCCCGTCATGCACAGTTCTCTAATCAACCTCTGGAGGTTCCCGCACTGTCTGTCCCTGGGACGCTCTCCCTTTTGGGTTGGGGGCAGCCCCAGGTGGCAGCCCCTGGGGACTCCATTCGGTTAGAGAGGTTTGTGTATCAGGAGGTAAGATTGCAGCACAAGCTTGTTAACTGCCATTTTGACTTAGTGGTCAGGCCAGCCGCCATTACCTCATGTTCTCTCTGTCTTCTCAGTTTCAGGCAGCCTCAGCGAAGTCATCGCCTCACACCTTCTGATGATGAGCTCCTCCAGAAAACAACAGTCCATCACTTGGAAAGAGAATCGCCAGACATCCTATTTATTGAAGGATACACAAATCATGGTTTCACCATCAATGGGACCATGGTGATAGGCCCTTGTGCTATTTTGCCACAAGCCATCCTGCAGTGGAATGTGAGAGTGTAGGCTTTTCAGTTCCTTAATAGGGATACCGTATATGAATCTGTTCACTTCAGGAGATATACATTTTCTAGTTTTAATATATTTTTCCTTGATTTCATTTATAGGTAGTCCTCGCTTAATGACAGTAATTGGACCGGAATTTCGATTTGTAAGCAATGTGGTCGTAAAGTGCAATGTCACGTGACTGTGCCATTTAGCGACAGCAGTGTCAGCAGTCCCTGGTTACCGTCATTAAGCAAGGATCTCACACGAACATGACTTCCGACTTCCTGCAGGCTTCACCATGACTTCTGACTTTCCACACTTTGCTTGTGGGAAGCCGGCAGGGAACGTCGGAAATCGTGATCGCATGACAGCAGGATGCTGCGACGCTCTGAAATCTGGGCTGGCTGCTGAGCACCCGGATTGCTATCACATGACTGTGAGGGCTCTGCAATAGTGAGAACTTCTAGGACCGGTCATAACTACCACTTATTCAGCACCATCACAAGTTTGAATGGTTACTGAATGAGTGGTCATTTAACGAGAACCACCTGTACATGCCAGTTTGTGATTCATGTAGAATAAGGTTTTTAATAGAAACTTAAATGTATTTTAATACATGCTTTTCCATATATAGTTTTATGTGTAATAGTTTGTAATAGAATATTATTGTATAGCATTTTTATCAATGTACGCATATTTTGATTGGGAAGCTATACCACAACATTTTTGGAGAATTTCAAGGAATAATTGAGTGCTGGTTGTCATAATAGTTTAAAAATGTGTCATTAAGTACCTGCATTATTATAGTGTAAACCAGGCAGGTTTTTCTCCTTCCCTACTCTTGTCCCAACATTAATTCTGCTGCCTAGGATTTATATTACATTTTTGGACCCAAATGCTAGAAAAAAAAATTCATATATAATTTTATTGAAAATGTTAAACACAAGAATAAGACTAATACAGACTAAAATAGAGTTAAAAAGAAAAGAGAGAAAGGAAAAAAATGAAAGAAAACTAAAGGTGCAAAAAGAAAAAGAGTAGCAGAAAAATAGAAAAAGAAAAAAGATGTAAAGAAGTGGCTTCCAGTCTTCTTTATGGCAGTTATAAGTACAATTATAAATTGATCTCTCTTTCAAGTTATATCATGACTCTCTTCTTTCTATAATCTATCCTGTCTAATCATCAAAACCATAAATCATAAGTTCATTTTTTTCTTTTTTGTGCAAAAAGTCTGTAAGGGTTTCCAGTCACCAATAAACATTGTCTTTTCTCTAATCAAACAAGTCAGTTTGGCCATTTCAAGTTCTATCATCTTCAGCCGCTCCTCTGTCATAGGTATTGCCAAATCTTTGTGTGTACAATAATCTCGCTGCAGTTATCATATATAAAAACAATGTTCCCTGATTTTTTTCCAACTGCTTATCCATCAATCCCAAAAGGAAAAGTTCTGGTTTCAGTAGAATGTTAATCTTTAAAATCCTCTGAATCACTGTATGTATTTGAACCCAAAATTTTCTAGCTTTTTTGCACATCCACCAAGCATGATAAAATGACCCTTTCTTGTTCACATTTCCAACATGAATTTGAAGTACCTTTATACATTCTGGATATTTTTTCTGGTGTCATATACCAACAGTACATCATTTTATGAAAATGCTCTTTAAGATTATAACATAGTGTAACTTTCAGTCCTTTCAACCACATATTTTCATTATAACCAAAAATTTTAGCCCACTCTATCATACATTCCTTAACTTGTTCTTCTGTTCCAAATTTCAGTAAAGTTTATATATTTTAGCAATCACATGTTCATCATTTGTACACAATTGTGTTTCAAAATCAGTCTTACAGTGTTCAATACCATACATTATTTTATTTAAACCTTTTTGATAACTATAAATAAGAAAACCATTGACAACTATGTCCCTCTGCCATCAGTTTCTTCTCTTGATTTTATTTTATATTCCCCTTGAGAGATTTCTAGTATCTCACAGTATGTTAACCATTTGTATTTGCCAATTATTTCTTGTCTCTAAAATGCTGCTTTTGCTGAGAGCCACAAAGGTGTTTTTGGGCACAGCCTGGATTTGTATCTATTCCATATTCTCAATATAGCACGTCTAACATAATGATTTTTAAAATCTGTCATGTCCTTCTAACTCTAAAAGTCTTCTATTTCTCAGCAACACCCACTATTTCATCCAAACCAAACAATAAGCTGCAAAATACAGTTTCAACTCAGGTAAACCCAGTCCTTCTCTTTCCTTTATATCTTGTAACACCTTATATTCAATTCCCTTGGCATACAAACTTAGATATATCTGTTTGTCACTGTTTAAATGGTGCATCAGTTGCCAAAACAGGTATTGTCTGAAACAAAAACATCATTCTAGGCAAGACATTTATCTTTATCACAGAAATTCTCTCCAATAATGACAATTGTAATTTCTCCCATCTTAACATATCTTCTTTAACTTAATTCCATGTCTTAACATAATTATTTTAAAAGAACATGCAATTCATATTTGTCATAGTGATACCAAAATATTTTACTTTTTTCTCAATCTTAAAACCTGTTTTCTTGATCCTCTATTTTCATTTTTTTTTTTTTGGTTAACATCTTTGTTTTCTGATTGTTAATTTTAAAACCTGCTAATGTACCAAATTCTTTTAATTTTCTCATTAATGTTTCAGTTCCCTTTAGTGGATCCTCCAAAACCAACACCGAGTCATCAGCAAATGCCCTTAATTTATAACTTTTCTTTTTAATCTTTATTCCCACAATTATCTCATCTTGTCTAATATCTCTATTCAATATTTCAAGAACTAAAATAAACAGAAGAGGAAACAGTGGGCACCCCTTGTCTTGTCCCTTTTTGTATTTCACAGGGTTTTGTTAGATCTTAATTGACAATTATTTGTGTTTTCTATAAAGTGTACATCAATATTACCCATTTAATAAAATTATCTCCAAAATTTGTATCTTCCAAAACATTAAACAGGAAAGCCCAGTTCAAATTGTCAAAGGCCTTCTCTGCATCTAAGAAAATCAATGTGGCTGGTTTTTCATTATATTGCTCCAAGTATTCCAAAATGTCCAACACATTTCTTATATTATCCTTTATCCTGTCTTTTAGGTAAAAATCCACACTAATCCTCATGAATAAATTCTTGTAAAATTATTTTCAACCTCTCACAAAGTCATTGTAAACAACTTCTTATTCAATAATGATACCGGGCGATAGTTTCTTGTTAAAGTCAAATCTTGTCCCTCCTTAGGTATTAATGCTATATTAGCCTCTTTCTAGCTCTCTGGCATCTTTCCCCTCTGAAAAACAGAATTCATCATATTTTGTAAAGGTTGTAAAAGATCAATCTCAAAACATTTATAGTAACAAGCCGGTTACCCATCTGGTCCAAACTTGGGAATTCTTTTTCTTTTTTCTTTTTATATCTTCTTTAGTTTGTATTAGTCTTTTATTTTTATATTTGTAAACTCTAATAAAATTATTATTTTTAAAAAATTTAAAAAATGACTAGATGGCACATAATCAGTCAATCCATCTTCTCAGGAGTAAGCCTAGGATCTTCAGATCATGAGCTCTACTGCCTGTTAGTGCTAAACAGGCTCTCTGAAAAATTCCAGAAGGGCAACTTCTTCCCTGTAAGCAAGTGAGAAAAAGTAGACCTGCTGAGCTTTTCTCAGCATTACTAATTTTAATAGAGAAGCAAAGACCCAGCTGTTGATCAAGGATGATAGATCTTGGGGCAGTTTTTACAGAACCCCATAATTGATATACCATGTATATAGTGTGAGTGTATTCAAAGAGGTTTACATCTGTTCATCTCTCTGATCCATGCAACAAGTGTTCAACATCTTACAGGTGACTGAAGTTAAGAATAATGTCTAAAACCATCTATTTTCTGCTAGGGCTGGGATTTGGAACCTGGTCCTTTAATTCACAATGCCATTGGAATGCAGCCACAATCCTACTGCGTCAAAACAACCAGCTCTTGCTGGACAGCAGGAGTGGGCAGGAAGGCATCTACTGAGGATGGTTTGGAGACTGGATAATTTTGTTTTAGGGCAAGAGGTTAGAATAAATGACTTAGGGATCCTTCACTGTCTGTTTTATGTGTGGGCATGTTGCTCAGTGGAGAAGAGCACCCATCCAAAAATAATGAAAATGAAGGTTCCTGAACGCATAAAAAATCAGGCTAGTCTTTCCCAACCTGTTACTCCCTCAGAGTATTAGATTGCAACTCCCACTCATCCTCAGAGATCATGTAGTCCATCTACAAGTAGTCCTTGCTTAATGACTGTTCATTTAACAATGGTTTGAAGTTACGATGGCCTCAGAAAAAGTGCTTTACAACCTGTACTTGCACTTAGAATTGTTGCGAACCGTCACACCACCCCCTGCAGTCACGTGATTGTGATTTGTGACCTTTTTTACAACAGTCGTTAAGCGAATTGCTGTGGTTGTTAAGCGAATTCCAGCAAAAAATATCCATTGGAGAAGTTGGATTTGCTTAACAACTGTGGTGATTTGCTTAACAACCATCATAAAATGGTCATAAAATCAGGTTGGGTCACGCGATGCCTCACTTAACAACCACCCCACTTAACCAATTTTCCAGTCCCTATTGTCATTAAGTGAGGACTACCTGTATAGGCTTCCGGGTTTGGGAAAAGCTGTTAGATCCAAAGTCTTTTGTGTGAAGGCTCTTTGTTATGCTATATATTCACTATTGGAAGAGTTTGTCTTTTGTTATTCTGTCTCATTTTCCAGGTTGGTACACATAAAGACATTATTCCGGGGAGCCTTGCTCTGTTCCACATGCTGGAGCCCAAGATAGGTACAAAATAACGCTGTGTCTTGGGCTGGGTTTTAGGGTTTTTTGTTAGTTTTGGTCTTAAGGAGGGAATTTAATCTCACTGTCCTTCTTCCCTACCTTCCTCTGTTGGTTGTCCTAGAAATTGTGGTCCTGGGAACGGGTGCGAGAGTAGAGTGGCTGGATCCTGCTGTCCTGAAGTGTTTGCAGCAACGTGGGATTGCTGTAGAAGTACAAAACACGGTAAGAGATGGTGCTGTGGGGACAGGAAGAAGCAGATAGGAAGAAAAATTAGGCGAGAAAACAGCACAGTAGGAGTTATCTTCTTCTGGCCTCAGATTTCATGTGGTTGCTTGAAACCTCAAAATATAAAAAACGGATGGGACACGCAGCATGAAACCTCACTGCCTGCTGTCGTGTTTGGTATGCTTAGCATTCTGGTTTAGCATTCTGAATGCTTCTAGTCCTCATGATTTTTTTTTTTTTAAGTGCACAGAAATACATATATAGTTTATTTTTATCTCCATAAGTCTTTGCTCGGATCATATGTTCCCACCCCAGGAACCTTGGCAGTAATGCCTTTGCCCTTTTGCAATGGAATTTGCATTGTTCTTTTTCCTCCATATGTATTGACACAGTGATTTGCCAAAGCATGGATCAGCAACACGAATAGATTCTCATCTTTTTCTCCACGCTGATTCCTTTTGTTCGGGTGCATCCTTCCTTGTTGGCTTTGAACTTGGACCCAGGTCCCCTGCCATGCGTGCCTTATTTCTCATCTCCTTGGTTTCGCAGCCTAATGCTTGTGCCACCTTCAACTTCCTGGTAAGCGAGCGACGTGTGACGGCTGCTGGACTCATACCTCCTCCCGCTTTCGTGTCTGAATAAGCCTTTAAGGGTAAGAGGAGATGGGAGGCCTTCTGAGCAAGCCAGAGAAAGGGACTCCGCTGTCAGGCCTGCCAGCCCCTTCAAGGTCCTATGAGCTGCTTCCCCTAGTCACTTACAGGCAGTAGCAGCAGGACGTCAACAAGAGGCGGGTTTTTTCCAGGCTCACCACCAGATCTGAGGCAGACGGCTCTTCTCGCACCGAAGCATGAGCCCAGCGTGGAAAAGAGGGCCTTGAAGTGATATCACGCACCACTGTGCATTGCATCTAGTTGTTATCTGAAAACAACTGCAAGCAGCTAGTGAATTTATGTCCTCAGGGGAAACTTGTTGGGTAGGCTGAAATAAAGCTATTTGTCCAAAATTGATTTACAGGCTTTGAGGCAGAGCAAAGATTTGAAGGTGGGCTTCTCTACCACTGTGTCATCTAATTTGTTATTTATCTATTTAATCTATTTATTACTATTTATATAGTCCTCTGCTCAGGATGGCATACATTATCAGTGAACAGCAATTTAAGTTTGTATGAAAACAGCACACAAAAATGTATGAGGAAGCAAGAATAAAGGATGCTTTATCCAAAGGCACTTTGGACAAGTGGAATGTTGTTCTGCTTGTGCAAGGCAATCAGTGCACATTTCTCCGATTTCCTCCTGCTATTGCAATATTCATAGCCTACACCAAACCACAGCCAACAAGCCTTTCCATATTCTGCTGTGTGATGCGTGCCTGCACATGGGGGCTGCAGTGAAAGGGAGGGAGGCTCTGAGCATGTAGGGCTAGGAGGAGATGCTGGGACCATGGTTAAAGAAGCTAGAGGGACTCGCCTTATGTTTAGCTTATTGGTTGTAGCTCGGCATTGATGTGAGGCTTATGGTCTGCCATGGAGCTACAGTCTTTCTGCTGAATGAAATTTCACTTACAAGTCCAACGTGGCGCATGGCAGAGCATGTGTGAATCTGAAATGTAGCCCTCTGGAACAAGTGGAGCAGCATCTGGCTTGCATTCAGTTTCCAGTTGTGTGTTTGGGTGGGTGCTTGAAGCACTGGCCCCTATCAGTGAAATGTCAGAGTATACTCCAAGCCCTCTCTTGAACCTGAGGCATTTTGCCAATCTGCCAGTCCTGCCAGTCTGCAAAGCAAAGTGCTTGTATTGCTTAGCTTAAGCATATCCCAGCCCCATTGTTTAAGCGAACGTTAGATCGCACATGTGCCTCTGGCAAATCTGAGT